GGGGTTGTTAACCAATGTCATAAAACAATATGTGTACTACTGTTTCATGAGAAACTATTTGTTCTGTAAGCCTTCACCTGAAGTACAATAAAAAAAAGAAATCTAACCTTTCGATCCAACTCACAGAAGAAATTATGTTCCATAAAAAAAATACTGCTGCAAGTAATGGTAAGTATTACACATATAATTCTCTGAATAAGGTAACTAAAATTCTTCATTTTATGTCCTGGTTATACTTAATGTACATTCTTTAATTCAAGAGAGATCAATTTAAATACTTTTTCTTCATGTTTCCTCTTTTCAGACTCTCTAGCTTTAAAAACAGTAGAAGAGCTTATGCATACTACTTCTGAAATCATATAAACAATCACAACCCTACAGGACAGATTAGAACTGCCCCATAGGGTTTCCAAGGTTGTCATATTTACAGAAGCAGACTGCCCCGTCTTTCTCCTATAGAGACAGTGGTGGGTTTGAATCACCAGCCTTTAAGTTAGCAGCCAGCACTTTACCACTGCACCATCAGCCTATAGAGACTATGTTTATAGTTTCTCTTTCAAAATTGAAAACCACCATAGCAGCACAACTGGAAGAGCGTAGTTGATGTCACTGAACTGTGCATGTAGAAATTTTTGAAATGGTGTATCTTTGGCTATGTATGTTTTCAGCAACAATAACAAAAAAGGTCGAGAAGGGAGAGGGTTGACATCTTGTGGGGTTGTTAACCAATGTCATAAAGCAATATGTGTACTACTGTTTCATGAGAAACTATTTGTTCTGTAAACCTTCACCTGAAGTACGGTAAAAAAAAAAAAAAGAAATTGAAAACCACCTCCCTACAGTATTCTAAAACTCTATGCTCAAATATATTACAACTCTACTAAACTGTATCATAAGCAGCATTTGATTTCCTAAAATGTCTTCAAAACTTACTATATTTCACAGAGAATTTAGCAAGATTTCAGGAAGACTGATTGTGTTGACTCCAGAAAATACAGAAAATTTCTCAGAGGAAAAGCACAATAAAAATGCAAAGCAGTAATAAAATCAACAAGTTTCATACTGACGAGAGACTCTTCAAACATGTTAATGGATACATTAGTACAATTTAACTGCATTTTGGGATTTTCAAAGAATCACAGAATGTTTACATTTTTAAGTTAGATAGGACGTTAAGTCACGTAATCCAATAGAACCCAATATATGAATCTACAGAATTTATCTCCACATCCCCCTAAAACAAAATTCTTATAGCTAAATAAGACACAGTTCTTTCCTTTGCTCGACCAGTCTAATTGTTATACCATTGTTAGATTCTTGCCAAAAACCTATGCTGAACTCAATCTATGTCCTTCCAACTTTCACCTGCTGGTCTGCCTGCTAAAATAGCAGAATGAATCTACTCTATTCATGTTTTTGAAATACGTGAAGACGGACATCATGTCTCTCACCCTTCAAGAAGTCTCTTCTTTAGGCTAAAAAGTATGGTGCACAGACTTCTGTAGGTACTGGAGACACAGGGAGCTCACAAAGTCAAACTTATTTAATAACATTAAGGCACTATTTGCTTTTTTCAGTATGTTGACATTTACACTTATAGTGCAAAAGCAATGGGCAACAAATCATACTAGTAGCCATTGCATTTTTCACCACCAAGCGCTCACAGTTCAAAAAAACAAAGCAAAGGTGTCTGTTTCACTTAAGAATACCCTTGATAAAATTACTTATCTTATGAAATCCTAACTCATGAATATGTTTTTAATATTCTATGTGACAAAATGGAAAGCACATGTAAAGCACTTCTATACATCACAGAAAAATACGATTATAGAGAAAAAGCACTTGTATGACTGACTCAACGTGCAGGGCAATGGATGTCTCTGTTATATATGGCCTTTCTGGCCCTGGGTTTGTACTTCTGCTAAGATAATTTGCTAGGCCACAATCTTGCAAAGGGATTGGTTAGTCTACAATGCAAGAAAGGTTTGTAGAACACCTGCAGGGATTTGTCAATTACTATGCAAAATTGGTGGCTATGGCCTACCAAGGGGATTGGTCAGTTTTGCCATCCTGTTAGGCTTAAAGGAACCAATCCCACAGAGGGTGGAGGAGGATCTATCTCACTAACATCAAAAAGAACCCAGAGTGGGGCACATCTTTCGGACTTGGAGGGGGGAGTTCGTCTTAGTTATCTAGTGCTACTGTAACAAAAATATCACAAGTGAATTGCTTCAACAAATAAATTTATTCTCTCACAGTCTAGGAGGCTGGAAGTTTCCATTCGGGCACCAGCTCCAAGGGAAGGCTTTCTCTCTCTGTCAGCTCTGGGGGAAGGTCCTTGTTACCAATCTTCCCCTGACCTACGAGCTTCTCAGTGCAGGGAACCCGTGTCCAAAGGATGCACTCCGCTCCTGGCACTTCTTATTTGGTGGTATGAGGTCCCTCTCCTCTCTGCTCAATTCTCTTTTATATCTCAAAAAAGACTGACTCAAGACACAACCTAAACCTGTAGATTGAGTCCTGCCTCATTAACATAACTCCCTCTAATCCTGCCTCATTAACATCATAGAAGTTAGGATTTACAACACATAGGATAATCACATCAGATGACAAAATGGTGGACAACCACAAAATATTGGGAATCATGGCATAGCCAACTTGATATACATCTTTGGGGGACACAATTCAATCCATAACAGGGTCCCTGCACTAGGAACCTCCCAGACCCAGGAGAAGAACTGTAACATTGAAGACAGCAAGAGACCGTGAGAGACAGCGCGGCAAGAGCGGCAGCAGCATGAGATGGGGGGAACCAGGAGACTGGCATGAGACGGCTGAGGTGGGGCTTGCTGACCCACGCAGCAAGAGGTGAATGTCTTCTAGCAGGAGGCTTGCTGGTGGCACATGTCGGCGAAGCTAAAAAGCTGTAACACTTGTTTGAGCAGGGCAGAGGCCTGGCCCAAGTACGGGCTGGCTGGAGAGGCCACAGCGAAGGGCCTGTCTACGGGCACAGCCAAAAAGGAGCTGAGAACTCTTGGTTGGAAGTCATACTGATTGACAAATGGTATCCTGTCTCCTGAGCTGTTCCTGTTACTTCCAACTTGATCTTGATCCTGAATTGTCAACTTCCCGAATAAACCCCATAATCATGAATATGGTCTGTGAGTTCTGCGTGCCCGTTGCAATAAACTATCAAACCCAGCAGAGTAGAGTGTCATGGGAGGGACGGTTGGTGTCAGAAGTGGTAAAAAAAAGTTGGAGAATGGAGGCATGTCTGACCCCCACCTCACTGGAATCAGCTTTGGGCTGATCCCAATGGTGATTATCCTCTCCCTTTGTGAAGTAAGAGGACCCCTGACACTGCTACTTCATTACACAACAGCACCTAGTAACACATGACTGAACTGCAAGCTGAAATGAGCCACTTTTTTCCATGGCATACCATTTTTACGTGAAAGAACACAAACTATGATTATTCAGGCTTGGTATACAGCAGACATTTTCTAGAAATAAATGAAGTGAACCTATTAATTCAAGGAACATAACAAACAACACTGATTGCCAATGATAAAGTTGGGCTTTCAAACAAAAATTGGAATTTTGAAAAACTTGTATTTGTCTCTCTGAGCTTGACAACTTTTCAAAACTTAAAGACTTTCCTGATGAGATGTGTAGTGATATTAAAGAAGGTAATTTTTAAAATATTGGAAATTGTGTCAACATTTCAAAGATCTGCATTACTGAGTGAACCAGTAGTTTCCAAATGAGCAATGCATGATGTTTACAAGACCTATTCAAAGTGCAGATAGACGAGCGGTTTTTTTTTTTTACAATGTTGTATAGTACAGGCAACCCTGTGATATTCTCCAGTAATGGCTACTCTCTCTAATCCTTTTTTCTGGAAGGATTGTATCAGTAGTCTTGCTGCATCAGATTCCACCTTCTTGGTCCTCCAGAGACCAGTAGGGTCTAATATAATAGAGTATGAAAAGTTCATTGATAAGGTTTCAGATTTTACATTGAAAGTTATCTTAAAAAAAAAAAAACCTACTGCTTGTCAAATTTTGTGGCACAGTGGTTAAGAGCTCAGCTGCTAACCTCAGGGTCGACAGTTCAAACTCCGCCAGTCGCTCTACAGGAGAAAGATGTGGCAGTTTGCTTCCATAAAGATTACAGCCTAGGACACCCTATGGGGCAGTTCCACTCTGTCCTATAGGGTCACTATCAGTTGGAATCGACTCAATGGCAACAAGTTTGGGTGTTCTTGTTGTTTAGATCAAAGAAGAACACGCACACTTTCTGAAAAGCCTAATAAAATATTTCTTCTTTTTCTAACTACGTATCTGTGAAGTTGGATTCTCTTCACGTACCTCAAATCAAAACAACATATCACAACTGACTGAAAGCAGAAGCAAAATCCAACTGTCTTCAATAAACTGGAAGTTAAGGTGATTTGCAAAAACTTAAAACAATGTCCTTAGTCTCACTAAATTTTCGGTTTTAGGATATTTATTTTTCATAGAAGTTATTTTAACATGTAATGAGTTTTTGTTATATCTGTATAAACTAATATTTTAAAAATATCAGTAGACCTAACTCACGTAAACAAAATTTTTTTGGGGTCCTCAATAATTTTTAAGCGGGCAAAGGGGTCCTAAGACCAAAAAGGCTTAAGCATAGCCTATTTGTCATGTAGATTTCCAGACCTCTATCTCTCAGAGCCCTGGTGACACAGTGGTTAAGAGCTCAGCTGCTAAACCAAACAGTCAGCAGTTGGAATTCACCAGCCGCTCCTTCCCAATGGGGCAGTTCTACTACTCTGTCTCATAGGATAGCTATGAGTAGGAATTGACTCAATGCCAACAGGTTTGGTTTTTTTGTTTCTAACCATCGCTTACCTTAATGCACACCTAATTAATTAATTAAGCCTGACAAGCCAGGCGGGGAGGGGGACCGCTGGTGGTTAAGAGCTCAGCTGCTAATCAAAAGGTCAGCAGTTCAAATCCACCAGCCACCCTGGAAACCCTATGGGGCAGTTCTACTGTCCTATAGGGTCACTATGAGTCAGAACTGACTCGACGGCACCTAACAGCAACAACAACAGCAAGGGGGGACTGGCAGAATGTAGGCTCCCTTCTGTGTCCCTCACCTACGATGCCAGGTGAAGGCATGCATGGAAGAGCCCTCTATCTCCACCGGAACAGTTTCCAGTGCCAGGGGGATAAGTGTGTCATGTAAATGTCCCTTTGTGTCCCTCATCTATGGTGCATAGCACGGCGCACGTAGTTGTGTTCCATCTCTGCCCGAACAGCTTTTGAGCTAGGGGTACTGCTTGTCTGTTGTATGCTGTTTTATTTTTGTAAAGCAAAAAAGTTACTTTCATTGTGCGAACACAACTTCAGGCTGTTTGGAGGACGTAATATTCATAGAAGAATCACATTTAGTGATTGGTCCCCTTTTTCTAATGGTCTCTTCGTTATTCAAAAATCTGGGACAATAGAAGAAATTAAGGATGGAATAAAGAAATTCACAGAACCAAATGAGGATGAAAACACATCCTACCAGAACCTTTGGGACACAGCAAAAGCAGTGCTCAGAGGTCAGTTTATAGCAATAAATGCACACATCCAAAAACAAGAAAG